CAGGGCACAGAGGGATGCAGAGCGCAGTGGGATGCAGAGTACAGCGGGATGCAGAGTGCAGAGGGATGCAGAGCACAGCGGGATGCAGGGCACAGCGGGATGCAGAGAGCAGCGGGATGCAGGGCACAGCGGGATGCAGAGCGCAGCGGGATGCAGAGCGCAGCGGGATGCAGGGCACAGCGGGATGCAGGGCACAGCGGGATGCAGGGCACAGAGGGATGCAGAGCACAGCGGGGTGCAGAGCGCCAGCTCCTACTCCATGGGAGCACCCGGGGGCGCGCGGGGCCCAGGCCGGGTCCCGCGGGCGGCCGCACTCACCGTCCGCGCCAGGTCGCCGCGCGCCGCCGTCCTGCGCAGCAGCTGCAGGCGGATGTCGATGTCGAATTTGCGGCAGTGCTGGATGTACTCGTGGCTGCCCAGCGGGTGGTGGCTGCGGGGACACGCACCGCTCGCCCCGACCGCCCGCTGCCACCCTCGCTGCCACCGGCCCCTCGCCCACAGCGCCCGGGCTCGGGGAACACAAGGATAAGGTACGCTTTCCCTCCTCCCATTGCATCCTTGGAAAAGAAGCCTGGGGCTCGGCTGATGGGATGGAGGAGCTGGATATGTCCTGGCTGGGAAAAGCTCCCAGTTTCCTAAAGGATGGATGTGGCCCTGCCTGGTTCTGCTCTGTGCGATGTGGGATGGTGCTGCAGGAAGTCTGGCCCTTCTTGCCGTGGTGGGAAAGACCCTGTGGATACAAATGGTCTCCTCCTGCCTTTCCCCACTCTGCACTGGGGCTCATCCCACTCCATCCCACTTTTTGCAAGGCTTTGGGAGGCTTGGGCTGCCTTCGGAGCGTGGCAACTCTGCAAAGCAGTTCTGGAAGGCGTGAAAAGGAAACCAGGGGGAACAAAAGGCCTTTATTCCCTGGGGCTTTCTCCAAGGTCCTTGGAGAGCCCCCAGGAGATAGAGCAGCCCTTCCCCTGTGGCTCCCGGGGAACACGGCGGACACGGGATGCTCCGTTCCCTGCCAGCACAGGGGATGGCGCACACAGAGGTGGACGGGGCTGCCAGGCCCTTTGCACGGAGCTTTGCACGGGGCTCCCCGCTGCGCCCGGGCACAGCGAGAGCAAAGCCCCCGGCAGCGCCCGGATCCGCAGCGCGGCAGCAACAAGGCCCCTGTGACACGTTTTCCAAAGGGAGAAGCCGGGCAGAGAGGAGGGAATTTGCTGCGGGCAGCGGCGAGGGCGGATGGATGAGCCCGTCTCTCCCCTTGCCCGCACGCATCGCTCTGCAAAGCGGGGCCGGGCAGCAGCCTGCAAAGCGCGGGGCTCTGCCCCGCTCCTGCAAATGCCTCCTTTCCAACAGCGACTGCTTCTAGTTAAGGCTCATTAGGGAAAACAGAGAGCTCTGCTGACAACGGCTGCATTGAGAGCAAAGCCCTGCAGCTGGAGCACAGCGAGGACGGAGCGGGACATGCTGCTCCCTTGGCTGTGCCTTTGGAGAGCGCTGCACCCTGGTTGCTCAGTGGCTTGCACACCCTGCAGTGTGCAGTGACACCGTGCAAGGTGCAGTGACACTGCACAACGTGCAAGGACACTGTGCAGCGTGCCATGGCAGCATGCAGTTGTGCAATGACACCGTGCAAGGTGCAGCGACACCGTGCTGCGTGAAATGACACCATGCAACATACAGTGACACTACGCAGTGTGCAATGACACAATGCAGTTGTGCAGTGAAACCGTGCAAGGTGCAGTGACACCACAAAATGTGCAATGACACCGTGCAGTGTACAATGGCACTGTGCAGTTGTGCAATGACACCGTGCAAGGTGCAACGACACCATGCAGCATGCAATGGCACCGTGTGGTTGTGCAGTGAAACCATGCAAGGTGCAGTGACTCCATAAAATGTGCAATGACACTGTGCAGTGTACAATGGCACCATGCAGTTGTGCAGTGACACCATGCAGTATGCAGTGACACCGCACAACATGCAGTGATACCATGTATTTGTTCAATGGCACCGTGCAGTTGTGCAATGACACTGTGCAAGCTGCAGTGACACCGTGCAGCGTGCAATGACACCGTGCAGCATGCAGTGGCACTGTGTAGTGTGCAGGGACACCGCACAACATGCAATGACACCGTGCAACGTGCAGTGGCGCTGTGCAGTTGTGCAACGACACCGTGCAAGGTGCAGCAACACCGTGCAGTGTGCAATGACACCATGCAACGTATGACACTGTGCAGCATTCAATGACTGCACAACATGCAATGACACCATGCAACATGCAATGGCGCCGTGCAGTTGTACAATGACACCGTGCAAGGTGCAGCGACACCATGCAATGTATAAACACTGTGCAGCATGCAATGACACCACACAACATGCAATGACACCATGCAACGTGCAATGGCGCCGTGCAGTTGTACAATGACACCATGCAAGGTGCAGCAACACCATGCAATGTATGACACTGTGCAGCATGCAATGACACCGCACAACATGCAATGACACCATGCAACGTGCAATGGCACCGTGCCACCTCCACACACACAACTCTCAATGCGGACAGGATGATCCCCAGACCAGCGTCTGGGATCCTCTCCCCATCACTGAGGCCACGCAGCGCCGTCATGGACGCGCTCCCATCCCGAGCAATTCCCAGGCGCCCCTTTAGGGCCTAACACGGAGGCAGTGGCAGAGCTCCCGGCATCCCAGGCTGCTCCGCCAGGCCCTGCGTGCGGCAGCTCTCCAAGAGCCGGAGCTGGAGCTGGCTCTCCGCACGGAGCCGCCTGCACATGCCTGTGCGTGCGTGTCCTGCGGCGAGACCTCACTGCGGGGAGCATTTTAGGGAGATCGGGCACGGAAACCCTGCAAAAACGTGGTTTTCCTCGAGCTAAAGGCAGCGTGGAGCTGGGAGCCGGATTGGCAGAGCGGGATCCCTCCGGGAAGAGCTCCCGTGCGCCCCGGCCCCGCGGCTCAGCCACAGGAAATAGCCCCGAGGCTTAGAAAGCTCTTATGGTTTTCCGGGCTGGAAAACTGCAACAGATCTGGGAGAGTCATTCCCTGGAGGTGCCTCCCGGGTGCCAAACCAGCCACGAGCTCGGGCCTGCAAAGCTCAGCCCCGATGAGCCCATCCGTGGGGCACGGGCTGCTCCTCCGCAGCCAGAGACGAGCCAAGAAAAAAGCACTGCAATTTGGGTTGCGTTTTGCGGGGAGAGGGTCCCGTTTCTCCCCACTCTGCAGCAAAGCACATTTGGGAAGCCCTGTTTGGGGTTTGGGGTTCCCGGGTTTGGGAAGCCCTGGAAATGCCCCTTTAAAACCTCCTTGTGCAGCTTCCAAACAGGCGCGGAGGAGCCAAGCTCCCCCCGGCCGCGCAAAGCGACAGCCCTGATACAGATGCTCTTCCCAAAGAGCTTTTTTGGCAGCTCCGGGATTTCCAGGCCTTTCCCCGGCACGGCGCCTCCGGCACGCGGGGATCAGCTGCTTCGCATCCCGCCGCCAAACGGGATGCTGCTTCGGACACGAGCAAGGCGCCGCTCCGGGAGGAAGGATTCGGAGTGACACCCCGGGTCACCCAGGCCGGGCCGTGGCCGTGTCCCCCCGGCCCCGTTTCACCGCTCACTTCTGCAGGAACTCCTCGAGGCCGCAGAGCTTGAGCACGAAGTCCTCGACGTCGACGGCGTGCAGCTCGTCGTGCGTGTAGCACAGCGTCTGGTAGATGAGCAGGTCCACCGTGGAGGAGCCTGGGGACACGGGGACACTGCTCCATGCAGCTCGCTGGGCATCTCCCCCCCCATCCAGGGTCTCCACAGGGGAGGTTGCTCCCGGTTTCTCCCGGCCGGCATGGTCGCACATTCCCTGGATGTCCGCGCACGGGGTACTTACAGTCGCAGGTGAAGGTGAGCGGCTCCCGCAGGCTGTCGCACACCACGGTCACCTTGAGGCTCACGCCGTGGCCCAGGTGCTCGGGGCTGAGGTTCACGGGGCTCCACACGTAGCCCGTGAGGGAATAGTCCTGGGTGCTGTAGCCCGCCCGCAGCCTGCGCGCACGGCAGAGGCGGAGGCAGCTCGCGGGGGGGACCCTGGCTCCGCGCCCGTTTTCCCACTTATTTTGCCCCCCGGAGATGCTATTTCAGGCGCTCCCATCCCAGGGCAGCTCTGCTGCAATTGCAGGGTGCTGGTGCCCACTGGATGATGGAGAGCGCCAAGGAGAGCGCCAAGGAGAAACCCAAGGAGAAACCCAAGGAGAAACCCAAGGAGAAACCCAAGGAGAGCCCAAGATGAGTCTCAAGGAGAGTCCTAAGGAGAGTGCCAGGAGAATCCAAGGAGAGCCACAGGAGAACCCAAAGAGAGCCCCAAGGAGACCCTCAAGGAGATGCCCAAGGAGAATCTTAGGAGAGACCCAGGAGAACCCAAAGACAGTCCCAAGGAAAGCCCCAAGGAGAACCCAAGGAGAGCGCCAAGGAGAACCCAAGGAGAGCCCTGAGGAGAGCCCCAAGGAGAGCCCCAAGGAGAGCCCCAAGGAGAGGATCTCTCCTTCTCCTGGGGCTAATCCAGCCCTGCCGGGGGGTCCCCGGGGCTCTGCTCCAAGGAGCGCCGCAGCCAGGGCGGCGGGCAGCGCGCGGGCACTCACACATCCAGCATGTGGCAGAAAGCGGCCACCTCCTCATCGCGCTCCTCGGACACCTCGAAGAGCTCGTAGCCGTTGGCCAAGGAGAGCGGCCGGGGCGCGACCTGCGGGGCAGAGGCGCGGGATGGCACCGGGGGCGCCGCGCTCCGGGCGGGCGGCAGCGGCGTGGGAAGGGGAGCCGGGATCTCACGGGCTCCACGGAGACGCGGCGGTTGCTGCCGGGCGCCGCGTTCCTGCGGTGGGCGCCGCGCGGCGGCACCTGCGGCGGCAGCGTCTTGCTGCGGGCCACGGCCTTGCCGGCGCCCTCCTTCTCCCGGAGGCTCCTGCCCTCCTTCCAGCCGCGCGCGGCCTCCCGCAGCACCTCGGCCTCGTAGGCGCCCTTGAGGTTGAGGCAGCTGATGGCGTCGGCGAGGCCCTCGTAGCCGCCGCTCCCGTACGGCTCCTCCTGGGAGATGCGGCGCCCCAGGAGCTTCCCGGCGCGCGCGGCCGAGAACGTGTTGATGTCCTTGCCCGGCGCCGGGTGCCGCGGCGGCAGCGGCGGCTTCGCGGGCGCCTCGGGGACATCGCGCGGGGCCGCGGGGCCGCCGCGCGGCTCCGAGCCCTGCAGGATGTAGAGGTAGTCGGCGGCGAGCAAAGCGCCCGGCCGGGCGGCCGTGCCGTCCGCCGGCGCCGGCTCCGAGCCCGGCGGCGCCCGCGGCTCCTTGGCGCCGGGCTGGTCCCAGGAGATGCGGGGCGGCTCGGCGGGGCGCTTGGCGCGGCTCTCGTCGCGGTGCTGCCGCAGGCGCGCCAGCGCGTCGTACTCCATCTGCAGCGCCTCGGCCAGCGCCAGCTCCTTGCGGCTGATGCCCACCGACTCCAGCGAGGGCCAGGGCTCGCCGTCGCCCCGCGCCGCCGACATGGCTCCGCCGCCGTCCTCGCCTCAGGAGAAGGGCATGCTGCGCGCCGGCCGCCTGCCAGGAAGGGAAAATTGCCCTGGATTTCCCCAAGGACGGAACAAGACGCGGAGCAGGGCCTCGACCCGTGGAGAGGCTCCCCCAGCTGAGACCTGGCAAACTCATGGCGCAGCGAGCGGGGCTCCCGGCCAGCTCCCCCGGGACGTTGCTCCTCTCCGCTTCCCAGGAAAACAAGCAACAAAGTGGCCGGGAAACGGGAGGAGGGAGCGGAGCCATCGGCTTGGGGAGGCAGAGTGCTGGAGGGGAAAAGGTCCCACTGGCCCTTTCCCGACTGCAAGGAATTCCATAGGAAAGCAGCAGCTCAGGGAGCAGGTTGGGAAGCTGAAGACGGCTCCAGGCTGCTGCAGCAACACCTGCATCCCGCATCCCATATCCTACATCCCGCATCCCATATCCTGTATCCCGCATCCCACATCCCTCACCACGTCCCGCGAGCTGCAGCGCAGCCCTCCTGACCCGCAGCCACAGGGACCAGATGGCCGGGCTCCGCTCGGAGCTGCCGGGAAGGGCACCGGGCGCATCCCGCCCTCGAGGCCATTCCCGCAGCTTCCCCCTGGGAATCCCCCTCGGGATGACCAGCGGCGAGGAAAGTGGGGCAGAGAGCATGGAAAAAAAGGGCAGGATTCATCCCGCATTCCGGGTCGGAGCTGCCGGAGCCGCCACCTTGCACTGCTCCAAGCTGAGACCTGTCGAACTCGCTCCACTCAAAGCTGCTCCCGCCAGTCGCTGCCACCCCCAGCCTGACGGACGCCTCCCTAAAACTGCTTCTTTTGGTGTGTTCTTCCAAACCAGTAAAATGACTTTTTGGGGAGACAAAAGGCTGGGAATGTTCCCCACTCCTGGCATTTCTGCCCCTGCAACTGCCGGGGATTTTTCCGGGAAAAAGAGAAATCCCAAAAGCTGGCAGGGCCAGGCTCCTGGAAGCCGAACAAAGAAAAGCAGCTTTTAACCCAAAAGCAACAAAACCAACCCGACTTTTGTGGCCGACAAAGCCGCAGACCCATTCCCGTCTCCAGCTCCTGCATCCCGCGGACACGCTGAGCACGGAATCGCTCCCACTGGTGCACACTGAACAATCCCAAAACGGGAGCAAAAATCCCCAAATGGGAGCTGGGGAGACGAGGGCCGGAGCAGCTTCGCCCTGCGCGCTGTTATTAAAAAATAAATTACAGAGGACTGAAATTTGGCGGGTTTTAGGTCTGAGCCCGGGAGCTGGAGGCAAATTCCAGAGGAACAGAGGCGGACACTTTTTTCCTCCTTAAAATAATGCCCTAATGGTATAGGAATAATTCGCTGACTTTGAGTTTCCTGGCGTCCACCGCAGTCACGTCGGCCTTGGGGACTCGCTCCGGCAGCATCCCGCTTGGAAAAGCGCATCCGGACACGCGAGTCCCTCATTCCCGGGAATCCTGAGCCCCCCGTTACGGATAACGTGATTCTCTTCACGCCTCAAAATCACCCACAAACGTCCGTGCTGAGAAGCGAGGGCCAAAAGAAAAGGGCTCCAAGTCCCAGCGCTTCCGGAAAGCTCCGGCATTTGGAGCCACTCCTGAGGCTTGCGGAGCACCTGCCCTTTCCCGGCTCTGTCACGGATGCGATTGGAGAATCCCAATCCCTCAGCGCCGCGAGCTCGGATCTGCCGGCACTGACCTACGCGGCGCAGCCGGGGTTCCCATGGTCACCGTATTCCCGGGATGCCCGCGCTTCCCACGCTCCCTGTGCTGCCGCGCTCGCCGGCCCCCGGGGCCTCCTCCCAGGAAGATCCGGTCCGATACCAGGCAAAGGGAAAGGGAGGCCCTCACGCCTGGATGCCGGTGGATCCCACGGGATTTGTTTTTTACAAAAACGGAGCCGTCGGAGCCCCAGAATTCCCACAGAGGCGGCTCCCGGGCCCCATCCCGCCTTCCCTTCCCCCTCCGGGGCAGCTGCTCCGGGAGGCAGAGAGAAACGTCGGGAGCATCTGGGCAGACATCAAACGCGGAGGGCGAGGAGGCAGCGAGGCCGAAGGGCGCGCGGCGGCGCCGGGAGCCGCCGCCGAGGTTATGCCTATCAAGGGGACACAATTCCCACCCATTTATAACCCGGCGGAGGGAGGAGCAGGCGGGAGAAGGATAAAGCAGCCGCCTTCACCTCTGGGGCTGCCGCTCCATCCATCCCGCCGCGTTCCCAGGCGCATCCGTGATCCGGATCCCCACGGATGCTCTGCCAGGGGCAGACGCTCATGCCCAGCTGGGGAGAAGCCCCTGGTCCTAATTCCACCTTCCCGAAAATGGGAATGAACTGGGAAACCTCCCATGCAGCATCGGGATCAGCAAAACCTCTTTGCGTTGGCCTCAAGGCTGCACTTTGGCAGGACCAAAACACAGGATTTCACCCCAATTTGAAAGCAGAGTTCCCATAGGAACAGCTGGGAGCACATCCTGGCCTTGCCAGCACCCTGGGGACAGACACACATCCAGGGACAGCGACATGGGCACCCTGTCCCTCCCTGCCCCTTCCCGCTCCCGTCTCCATCAGCAAAGCCTCAAATCCTTCCTCGGAGTCTCCCAGGGCTTCCCAGAGCTCCGCAGCTCCCGCCAGGCTCCCTGGCGCGCCCGGCTCCGTGCACGCCGCTCCGAGCAAACGCCTTGGAAACAATCGGCTCCAACCTGCTGCCTCGGAGGCTCTTCCTCCTTCAGCCAATATGTTTCCTATTAACAACAGAGCGGAGCCCAGCGCGGGCCGAGGGCTCCGGAGGAGGCAGGATGTGCAGCCAGACGGAGCCAACGGCTCCCGGGTCACTTTGCAACGCGTTTCCACCCCAAGGAGGAAATCCTGCCCTGGGAAGATGGGTCAGGTTTGGGACGGGAAAGCCCTCGCTCGGGACGGCCGCGGGAGCAGGGGACTTTGTGGAGCGGGATCCGGGCGGGATGGCGACAGCAGAGGGGGGCCGGGGGCAGGATCACGGTCCCGGAGGTGCCTGGGTGCACCGGAGACCTTCGCCCCTGCCCAGCACCTGCAGGCGGCAGCGAGACGGGGCGGATGGACGAGCCCCGCACCCGGCTACGGAACCACCCACGGGCGCTTCCCGCTCGGCTGCTCCCACCCCCGGGTGCCGTTGGCGCAGGGGGAGACGCACCCACGCTCGGAGTTTCCGGATCACCCAGCTCTCCTTCCCCACCCCGCGCTGCACCCGCGTGTTTTTGCCCACATGCAGCGTCCCCGGGGTGCTCGTGGTCGGACTTTGCGCCGCCGCTCGGCTCTCATGCAAATCTCGGCTTCCTCTGCTGCGCGCGCACGATGCCGAGCGGCCGCTCCCGGGGCGCTCCGGAGGCGTGGGTTTGCTGCACAGTAGGCGTGCAAGGCATGCAAGGTGTGCAATGGCATGCAAAGCACGCAAGGCGTGTGAGGTGTGCAAGATATGCAAGGTGTGTATGGCGTGCAAAGCGCGCAAGGCATGCAAGGTGTGCAATGTTCGCTATGTTCGTGCAAGGCGTACAACGAGTGTAAAGTGTGCCAGGTGTGCAAGGCATGCAAGGTGTGTGAGGTATGCAAAGGTGTGCAAGGCATGCAAGGTGTGCAAGGCGTGCAAGGCATGCAAGACGTGCGAGGTTTGCAAGGTGTGCAAGGTACCGGCACCAGCTGCCTCCTCCGTTTGCATCCCAGCAACGCTCACATGCACACACGAGCACTGGCTCACGCTTCATGGCGCAGGGGCCGTGGAGCTGCTTTCCTGGTGCATCGGCACCGGGAAGGGCAGCTCCTTCGGCCTCGCGTCCCTCCTCGCTGCAGACTGGCGAGGCGGGCAGCACTGCATCCACTCCCATACGCGCTTCCCCCTTGCTTTGGGAGGAAGGATTGATTCTCCTGATCGCGCTGCTGCTCGCTCAGCCTGGCCCGGATCCCACGGACAATCTTACTCCGGCGTGGCTTTGTGCGAGCCAATAGCTCTGGTCGGGTCAATGTATGTCCCTTGCAGAGCAGAAATACCCCCTGTCCACCTGGTACCTGCACCCATACACACACCCCCTGGGCCAGCATTCAATGCACGAGCACTTCTGCACAGCGAGGATCCCAAATACTCCATTCCAGGGGCAGGAAAAATGCCCAGCGCTTTGCCACGAGCCAGGCATCCCGTGCAGTCCGTACCCAGCGCCCACGGTGGCTCCGGTGGCCCCTTGCAGCCGGCACGGCCTGTCCCGGGAGCGCCTGGCACACGGCTGGGCACAGGGCACAGGAGGCAAACCAGTGCCAACCACCCTCAACCAGCGGCACCTCAGACGGGCAACTTTGCAATTTGATGCATGCTGCTGCTGATAAAAATAGCACTTTTTTTTCCCCCCTCCTTTCTCTCGCTTTACCCCCCATGCCCGATCGAGGCTCCGGAGCAGCAGCGCGGTGCCCTCTCCACAGCGCCCATCCCGGCCTCTCCCGGCTCCATCCCGCCAGGAATTGCCGGGGAAGCCCGAGGCTGCGCCGCGCGCTTGGGGCGGCCCCGCCGCGCGCCCCGGCGCCATAAATAAATAAATAAAATTAAAAATAAAAGT